TTTTCATCATCGCCTATGGATTATTTGGGCATCACAGAAAATACCCAACAATTTAAATGTATTCATACATTAATATGGATGTATTAACAATGCTGATATATGCTTCCTTGCATGATTTGACTGCCAAATACTTTTGGTTCTCACCATCCCACACGTTACGGGCATCACAAATCTTGTGCCTTCCTAGAGGACAGCCATGTTATACATCAAACAATTTGCCCTTGTAGAAAGATTTTTAATCTAATAAAAGATTGTACACAAAAACACTCCCTTTGTACATCTAATTCCCACACCAAATTAACCCTTCCCCCTCTCCTCCCGCTATTACCAACGTCACATCTCTATATCTCTCTAAAGGTTCAATAACCATGCCAAACTCCCCACGAGAGTTACGTTCACTCATCACTACTATAAACACACTTCTTAACACCCTTTTTTCTTGTTATCTGAATTTTCTTTTATGGTTTTTCTTCTGCATGGATGGATCACAAGGTGATTGTACATCTGATAATGGTCGTAAGGGCTCAGGAAAGCGTGCAGCAGGGCAAGCCGAGACGGCAGCAGGGGCACAGCCGCTTAATGCACCTTGTGGTGCATGCAAATTCTTGAGGAGGAAGTGTATTAGCGGATGCATATTTGCTCCTCATTTTTTCTCCGATCAAGGTGCCGCTCGGTTTGCTGCGGTGCATAAGGTGTTCGGGGCGAGCAATGTGTCGAAGCTTTTGTTGCATATTCCGGCTAATCGGAGGCGTGATGCTGTCGTCACAATATCATACGAGGCTCAGGCCAGACTTTCGGATCCGGTTTATGGTTGTGTGTCAACAGTTATTGCCTTGCAGCAACAGGTTTGTCCCAAAAAAAAATGAACTTTGTTAATCATCACTCTTAGGAAAAGTTGGCTAAGTTATATAAGATAGAAAAGTTGGCTAAGTTATATTCCACTCTTAGGAGTTTTCAAACATGCTCTAAAAGTTGGCTAAGTTATATTCCACTAGGCATGCTAGTTTATTGGATAGACTGAACAACGAAAAAAATGATTTCACACATTTTTCTTCTTTAGTCTTATCTAATTTTAATGAGTCGAGCAGAGCCATGAGAATAGAGTTAAAGCAGAAAGTTTAAGTGTATCCCCATATTTTGTAAAACAGATTATCAGCAACTAAAGTGGTCTATTAGCAAGTTAAATTTACCAACTTCTGTAGAAATAATGATCTAGTCATGTATACTTTCTGAATACTGGATAACATTGCTAATATGCAAATTGATGAAATATTAACTTTTATGACAAAATAATATTAATTCTAAAAAGTATCGAACTGTCAATTAAAAATTTATGTCGCCTATATATAAATTAAATTAACACAGAAAAAAACCGACAATGAATAAGATAACCAAAAAGGGATTCTAAAGTAAAATTTAACAAGAAAAAGCTGATTATATATGCTGTATACTTTTAGATCTGATGTGGGATGGATTAATTAATTTTCTATCACATTACCTCTGCTTTCTGTGCTGTTAAATTGTTGTAAATGAAGATATAGGGAACAAACACAGTTATTTGACAATCAATAATCAGTGATAAAGAGATTATCCACACTGAAACAAAATACAACATCTTGCAAGCTTATAACCACCAAAGCGTTTCGTATAGCATTTTGATGCCCATTTCTTGTTTCATCTCTCGGATGACTTGCTATGTAAATATATTTAGGTGACATCTCTTCAAGAGGAGCTTTCAGTCGTGCAAACTCAGCTGATAAAAAGTAGATTTTCAATGGTAAATGCCCTTCAGAATTCCCCAACACAGCAGCAGCAACATGTTGCAGTGTCACAGCCAGCCTATTCGAACACTTCTTCTGCTTCAAACTATAATCTTATTAGCATCAAAAATTTCAACTACCCTTCTAACTTCGAACAAACTGCAGCTCCCTCCAATAGTTTTGAGCCTATTCGACTATGCCCATCTGGACAAGATGACGAGGAGGAGGAGGAAGAAGAAGAGAGTCGTGATCAAATAGCATTCACTAATCAGATATGTCACTGAGAAACGCATAATTATTTTATTGAATAATATTTATATGGTTGCCTAGTGATTAGAAAATATAAATATCCAGATTCCAATGCGAGATGAAAAATGAGAACGATGCATCTCTCTTTGTGCATGGAAATTCAGTAGTTAAGCAACTTAACCATAACTAAGCATCGCCATGATCATTCAACAAAGGCAGTCATTTTAATGACTAGATATAACTAAATAACAGAAAAGGCGAAAAGATCAAGTTAAACTTTTATTCCAAGTGAGAGGGTACAAAATTATGTCAGTACAAGATATGTACACCTGTTCGAAAAGATAAAAATTGATTATGTAACCCTGAAAAAATTGAAAAGTGGCTTTCGTATCAACTTCGACCAAATATTCGGATTTGATCCGATAATTAAATTATAAAAATAAATAGACAAATTTGTTCTACTTGTTCAGTAGATGATTGTGGTATATTTGGAATTTAAAAACTAATTCTAGATGAACAAGAAAGTCGGAGGAAAAAAATGAATTTTCAGCACCTAAAACTGACTCTTGAACAATAGCCTAGCGCCAGGCGGGCAATAGCTCTCTGCTTTTGGCGCTCAAGCGGTGCACGGGCGATGGCTAGCGACAGTAAAAACTGCTACCATTGGTAATTGTTACTGAGTTTTGGGGCATGTCTCTCCGTTCATAATCCACCTCTTCTATAAATTGGATCCCTGGACGTCATTTAAGGATCACAATTCATATTCTTGAGTCTTGCATCAAAAATTCTTATGAAAACTCTCCCAAACTTTACATTCAAAATCATTCTTTGTAGAGAAAAAATTTCGTTGAGTTCGTTGTTGCCTTGTGATTTGGAAGTGCTTCTACTAGAAAGAACTAATCTGTTGTATCTTGGGGGATAACTCTTGTTACTTAGTTAGTACAATTGTGGAGCAAATTTATCTTAAGGAAAGAGTATTATCACTTGCCTCGGATCATTTCATACATATTTCTTCTTCTTACTTTTGGTTCTACCATATTCTTTTGAGGTTTAACATCATTTTTGTGTTGTTAAACTTGTGTCAAATTATCATCCACATACAAAAAAAACATTTGTACCAAATCCTCAACAATCTTAAGACTAATTTTTTTTGTGTTGTTTTGTTTGATCAAAACTCGTTTTCTTCATTTTTTGAATAGGCATTTGTGCTATTCTTTTCTTGATTTTTACTTGTGTTGATCTTCTATGTATGTAACATAAATGAATACCGTTAAGACGCTTTGACTCAAACAACAAGTTGTACAAACAATATGGTTCCTGTCTTTGACTATACAACTTCAAAATATTCTAATTACATATGGGAAAAAAATGGAGAAATTTGGAGGTATGGATTTCAAGAGATAGCAACAAAAGATGTTTTATCTTACCACCTTGCAATTGGCAAAGTTCTTAACTAAAACCCCTCCTGTGGTACAAGAATGGGAAAATAATTGTGAGTTGATTATTGCGTTGGATGCATGGAAGCATTCAAATTTCCTTTCCAAAACCTACATCCTAAATAGATTAGACAATACAAAGTGTATAGTGCTATGAAATTAGCCAAGGAATTTTGGGATTCTTTGAAGAAAAAGTAGTGAACTAACTTAGCTGCCCGAGAATTTCGAGTTCCAC